ACCATAATTCCCATAGTTTAGGATCAATTAAGGTAATGCAGGCTTTATATCATCAACCGTAGGGTTCAGGGCGGACTACAGTTCAGGCCCATACTTCTAACCTTAGAAAGAGCAGGCTTTCGGTTCCACCGGTGTCTAGGGATGCAGCCAGGGGATGCTCCGAAGTCGTTTTTGGGTCCTTCAAAACACTAAGCCTCAGTCCCAAGCCTAAGTCCCTTTTCAGGGCTTTAGGGTTTATAGGGTTTAGGGTTTAGGGCTTTTCGTGTTTAGATTTTGGGGTTTCCCAAACCCAAAGTTGCCTCAACCTCTACAGACCCTGAGCTCTAAACGCATGTACCCGTAACCCCCTTAATAGTCAGGTACACTGGTTCCTGCTATTCTAGCTTACTCGGGAAACCAACAATTAATTCACGATTCGAAACCCAGCAATGACATAGACCCCTTAAATGGCATAGACCCCTTAAAGGGTTTAGGGTTTAGGGTTCAGGGTCCCCTGATTACGGGACTTTCGAGCCTTTTTGGGTATCAAGAGCCAAGAATAAGGATTACTTGGACCCTTAGGGGACTGCTTCTTCCTGCAAACGCACAAGATACACACCCACCGTTCCTAGGGATCCTCGTGTACGCCCACCAAAACACTGACATGAACAGTAAACATTAAGCCTTATGCTCCCTTTCATAGAAGCCCTTTAGCAACGTCCTAGAACCTACAGCTCCCACACCCTGAACCCTAAATTCCTAAATTCTAGCTAAAGGGTCATACTAGCTAGAGGGTCATACCCTGTCCCCGTTCTTAGGGTACACAGTTTTCTGGTCAGGACCTGCTATGTAGAAACGTCGGCACCTTATAGAACAAGTGCTAGGGTATGACCCTTTGGATACATCTGAAGTCCCAAACCTACACTCTAAACCTTTATAGGTTTCAACCCCCAAACCTAAACCCTATAAAACAAACCTAAACCCTTTGAAGCTGTCAATCCCAAAGCCTGAACCTTAGAAGCCCAAACCCCAAACCCTAAACCCTAGAAGCCCCAGCCCTAAACGCTAAACCCTAGAAGCCCTAAGCCCCAGCCCCAAACCCTAGAAGCCCTCAACCCTAACCCCTAAACCCTGGACCCTAAACCCTAAACCCTAAGCCCTAAACAGCCGCAAGCCCTAAACCCTAGAGCCCTAAACCCTAAACCCTAGAAGCCATAAACCCTAGACCCCAAACCCAAAAACTAAACCCTAGAAGCCCCAGCCCTAAACCCTAGAAGCCCTAAACCCTAAAGCCTAGATGCCCTCTGCCCTTAACCCTAGAAGCCCTAGTCCTGAACCCTAAACCCCAAACCCTAGATGCCCTTGAAACCCTAAACCCTAAAATCTAGAAGCCCTAAACCCTAAACCCTAGATGCCCTAGATCCCCAGGGCCGCTAAACCCTGAGCTCTTTTAAAAAAAGAGGCTGCTCCCCTAAACCCTAAACCCTAAACTCTAAACCCTAAACCCTAAAACCCTAAAAAAAACCTTAACCCTAGGCTCTTTGAGGAACCTGTTAAGCACCCCTTAAACCAGCAAAAGCCGACCTCCCCCAAACTTCGCATGCTGCAGGTGCCTAAGGGGCACCTGCGTCAGGCCACCATGCACACAAAGGGGCCTGGTTTAATTCAAGTGCTATTTTTCAAGGGCTCCTCCCTAAACCCTAAACCCTAAACCCGTTGAGGGCTCCTTTAAAGGGCCATTTTATCGGAGTTGCACGGCCTTCGCCCTCAGCGAAATGGAGCTGCAACTGGAACTGTCCGCCGGACGTCATCACTCTCCCCCTAACACAGAAGCATGAATCATTGCCCTCTTTGTTGTTTGGGGTTCCTTATCATTATTCTTCTTTTTGTTCTAGTAACATTTTTCGTGTTCGCTATTATCATGATTACTATTAGTGCTATTCTTCTTCTCGTTTTTATTACTACAGTACTATAATAAATCCCTATATTAACACACCACCCCCGACAGACCCACCCAAGTTGTAAGCTAGCTTAACATGAAAGCACCATGCGTCCTGTGTGCCGAGCCCAAACGAATAGCATCCCCGCAAATGAGCAGGTCCTAAGCCCAAAACAAGGATCCCCGATTTCTAATAAACCTCCTTATCCTGAACCCCCGAAACCCCGAATGTCTGTGAACCTCAGTTTCGCGGTGTTGTGTTGTGGGCCACTGTCAGCTGCAAGCGTCTAGGCATTGTGGCAGCTTCAGAAACTGTTGGTAGCATAGTTCTTGTCCCCCGACGACATCCGAAGCACCACCTTCAAACTCCTTTCAAGCAGATTCCAGAAAGTTGGCAAGGTCAAGTGGAGGGAATCCCAGCACGAATCATCCTTTAACTCATGTTCCAACTGTCGGGGGTAAACCCTAAACCCAAAACCCTAAACCCTAAGCCCTAAACCCCAAAAACAAAAACCCTAAACCCTTAGCTCCTCAATCCTCAGATCCCTTAGCCGTATTAGCTCGTGCAGCAGGCAGAGTCCTCGGTTTCTTGTAGCCTGGCATTACTTCGGCGCGTTGTGGGGTGGCTACTACGTGTTAGGAATCAGAACAGCAGAACAGGGTTTAGTAGTACCCAGGTAATAAAGGAACGCACCCTTCGCCTACACACGGACATTATGACCAGACACAGGACTTCAGATTCTTGGTTCGGGGTCTAGGGCAGGTGTTGCCACTTCAGGCTGGTGGCCGTAGTATAGGGGGCCTCAATAATTAGAACAGGGTTTGGGGGTATACTGTATAAGAATTATGAGAAGGAGCCCCCCCCAAAACCCTATTCGAATTCTTAAGGCCCCTACATTAGTTGTGCCAGCTATGTCAGATGACGCGAGCATGTCTGCACCCTGCACAGTTGTGCTAAACGCTGGTGGCATTTTGCCAGAATTGAGCACGGAGGACACTGGCGACGAGCCGGTTCCAAAGGAACATGATCCAGTTAATGCTCGGGAGGTGCCACAGCCGGGGGAAGAAGACATGACAGATAGCCAGGACTCCCACAGCTATGTAGCAGGGTACTTCAGCACAATGACGCTGACTTCGCCGACAATCCAGAGGGTGACATCCAGCCATCAAGTTTTGAGCTGCTTCGGCCGAGCGCTGCGACAAAAGGCCCTCGGAGACATGTACCATTGCAGCAAACCCGCCGTCAGGATCTCCCAGTTTGTTTCACACAGTTGGCATGGGTCGGCATGGAAGAAGATCGCTACCCTCTTTGTGCTGAAGAACGGTCCTGCAGCGGTGGCTTCTGGAAGCATTTTGGCACTGGTCATGACCGTCCTCAGCAGCTTCAACATCTTGCCTGGCTATGACCGGCAACCCATGCTCGAGCCAGAGCGAACCTATGTTTTCGGACCTTGGGGGATTTGCCTTGGTATGCTGATTGCACTTGTCTGCTTGGCCTTCAGTGAACGTCGTGAAGAGCTTTTCCTGGATGTGCTATGCATCCATCAGACTGATCAGCGCTTGAAGTCGGAAGGTCTTCTGAACATCTGTGCCTTCTTGAAGAATTCCGACTCCATGTTGGTGTTGTGGGACCCCACCTACGTTGAGAGGCTGGGTCTTTCCGACTCTGAGCGCTAAGCCTACACCCCAAGTCCTGATTTTTCTGATCTTCTCCAAACCAGCTTGCAGTCCCCCTGCAACAACAACGACAAAACCGGAAGTGCTCTCAGATCATCAGAACCTGAGGATTAAAGATATAACCGACATCTTCCACAAGTAACAAGCACGATTTCAATGACGGTACTGCGTGAGAAAGATCATACTTAGAGAGTCAGACGCGCAAGACCAACGTTAAATGCCAGCAGTAACCATGGCAGCAGCAGGAGCACACTTGGGTGTAATATATAGAAGCCTCAACAATTACCATTATCATTGTTAGGGTTCCTTATGGTACATACTGTATAAAGGAGCCCAAACCCCTATTCTGTTTTTTTTGGCCCCTACACTACACTTGCGTACCTTCAAGCCGTTTCTCCGACTGGAGGCTTTGGTGCGTCTTCGAATTGGCTGCCTTCCTGAAAAGCCGCGAGAGTGGGACAGCGACGAAGTTGTTCATTAGACCTACCATCCTCGGCCCGAGCTCCATGGCATCCTGCTTCTAGGTTCCCCAGTAGTACCCTTTTTCTTTTGGGGGTTCCCTTTATTAAAACCAAATAGTAGGAAAAAGGGTACCCTTATTATTATCCAGAAGATTCTTCTTAAGTTGAGCTAACACAGCTCCCCTCCATGACATGACCGCTCTTTGAGACTCGAGGTACCCTTATTATTAAGGGGCTACTGGGGAACCTAGGCTTGGGCCTCTTTGCATTGCAGCTGGCTCAGTCCGCGGTTCCATGGGCGAACCCCTTTCACGGCACCTTTGTCATAGTTGGGTAACATTTTACATGCTTAAGGGTACTTAAACCCAATAAGGAATATAAATTTAAATGTTTAATACTACCCCAACCATGAACCAGGAACCCTGGTCTTCTCGGTGCTGGCCTGGATTGGGTGTTACTCGGTTGCCTGTGTTTGGCGGAGCCACTACAGGCAGATTGACAAGATGAAGACCCAGCTTCAGACTTTCACCGTCGGCAAGACAAAGTCGAGCTGTTGCCAGATAGGCCATGTGGATCGACAGGGTCGAAAGATTCCTTGCGACAAGGCAGTGATCACTGAATGCATCCGACAGTGGTTCGGCTCTGTTGATGCGTTCGAGGACGATGTCAGGTCCGGCGTTGCAGCCGCGTTGTCAGAAGGATTGGGCAAGGGAGGGTTTCCTTATCCTTATGTGCTGGCTGCCGCAGCACCCACCTTGTGGGGTCAAGCCGACTTCATTGCCTCCCGGCTGCGGGAGGGCGAGTTCTACAATGCCGGCGTCACCGCCATCGTCAGCCTGGCATACTGGCTCGCCGCAATTCCCTTCCTCTTCGCCTGCGGTGGGCTTATCGTCCACAAGTTCCGCCGCAGGCGTACGACCTCAGAGAGAAGCCTGCAACAATAAGAAATGGGCCCCAAACCCTAAACCCTAAACCCTAAACCCTAAACCCTAAACCCTAAACCCTAAACCTTAAACCCTAAACCCTAAACCCCAAACCTAAGCCCTGAACCACAGAAGGACCTCAAACCAGACCCTGAAGGTACAGCCCTTGCCTCGATGCGCTGGTGCCTCTACTCGTTTCGGCGTTTCTAAATCTGGTGCCGGGCAGTGGCATGTTCTGGCTGCTGACGCTCGGCGAAATTCCCATCCTGGTCTGGTCGGCTACAAAGAGATGCATACGAGTGATTCTAGTATAGAGTCTTGTATAGCCCACCACATGCTGCAGCTAACTTGCGCACCTTCAACACCTGGACGTAAAGTCAATCACCGCACATGTATGCGAAATCAAGTTATACAACTGTAGCATGACATGATACATCATGTCTACTGTCACGATGCATTGTAAATTGTAGCCTTCGCTCTACAGTGTAGCAGGCCGTCACGTATACCTTGGCCCCCTTGAGGGTTGTAGCCTCTGGTTCCATGGTTCACATACTGAAACAGGTAGGTTCCGTGGGGTGCAGGTAGATCAGAATAGGTCATCTAGTGCCTTACCTTCACCCTAAACCGCAATACGCTAAACCCCATCTTATTCTTCAGTGGTACATCATAGGACATAGGCTCGGCACACCGGAAGAGTTTGTCCGGTACATTCCAGGATGGGCCTACAGACGATGCTGGATGACATGCTGGCCGCAGTGCTTTGGGCCACGATTATATCGTCTTCGGCCCTGCTCGCTTGGCGGCTGCGCTGATCCCATGCTGAACATCGTGGGCTTAATATCTAAGCCCATCTAAGTTTAGTGCATTTTCGCGATGGGTGCTCGAAGAGCCCCGTGCCCTAACCCCTAAACCCTAAACCCTAAACCCTAAACCCTAAACCCTAAACCCTAAATCGTTTCGTGGCAGCTTCGGCTGCAAGGCTCTTTTTCCCGACCCTGCCACCGCGTGAGATGGCCAGGCACTGTTGTTCCGTCATAGAAGAGCCCTGAATTCCAAGACAGCGCTCTCTTGCGATTTTCCAGAAAGTTTCCCATGGAAGTCGCACCCTAAACCCTGAACGCTAAACCCTAAACGCTAAACCCTAAACCCTAAACCCTAAACCCTAAACCCTGAACCCTAAACCCTAAACCCTAAACCCTAAACCCTAAACCCCAAGCCCTGAGCCCCAAAGACCCGAGATCCCTACATCCCGAGCCCCGAAGGCAATTCCCAGACGCAGAGGCGATCTAAAGAGGAAACTTCGTGAGAGAGCTCTTCTTTAGGAACCCCCAAAAAGGACATAAGCATAAGCATCTTATAGGGATCTTCTTAGGCTTCATTATAAGGGGATTTTTATGGGTTTAGGGTTTAGGGGTTTAGGGTTTAGGGTTTAGGGTTCATTATACGGGGATTTATATGGGATATCCAAGACTTATGTGCCTTTTTTGGGGGCCCTACTTCTAGGGCGCCTTTGAAGTGCTTTTTTGGGGCTTCTGCGAGGGCCCCTTACTAAAGGATGATGGGGCTTAGTAAGTAGGGTTATAAGTAAGGTAGCTATACTTATAACCCCAGTTAGGGAACTTATAACCTTACCTACTAAGGCCCCCAAACCCTAAAAGCCAATAGAGCCCTTCGTACAAAAGCCGTACAGATCCCTTTAAGGTGCGCTTTAAGCTACTAATATAGGGGCCTTAGTAATTAGAAGACGGATTGCGGGTCTATTATGCTGTAAGCATAACAGGAACCCCCTAAACCCTAAACCCTAAACCCTAAACCCTAAACCCTAACCCCTAGACCCTATTCAAACTATTAAGGCCCCTACAGTAACCCTGAGCCCTCAAGGCTCCAGCGGCCGCAGAGGGCAGATCCATCTGACATTCCCAGAGAACCCAATACACCTTA